GGCAGGGGACCAGACTACTTAGTATATGGATACGAGTTTGCCCCATCCAAACGCCCTCTATTGTTCAATTTTCTATCCTAAAATCCTTTTGCAAAAGGATCAACCACGTCTGATTATAAATCCTTTTGCAAAAGGATCAACCACGTCTGATTATAATAGTGAAATACCATCATTGGGATCCGAGATAAAAACGCTGGTATCGGAATAGGAAATTACTTGATAAACTGTTAGCATTGGACTATCACATACTTATAAAAAAGGTAATTATTCGTTATTAACAACAAACCAAATATAACCAATGAGCTGACTGATACATACCTACACAAATAATTACTAGAGGAAGACCACAGACCAGATCCTCGAGGCGTCTGAATACCAATGATTTGAATTTAAACTGCAGTCATGTGACTTTATAAATTTGTATGAAAACATAGATATTTGTACATTCACCAAAACATGGAAGCCAAATGGTTATCAATTTGATCAACACTCATTGCGATGGAAATGAAGTTTACATCACCTCGGCGGGAGAGAAAGTAAAAAAATGTAAATTTTCTGGTGATGTTAGCACTGTTTTGCGTAGCAATCTCTCATGTTTTGTAAGACGCTTGAAGATGTTCTGTTTTGTACATATCACTCAGTCACTCTGAAATGTATGAAAATATCCCATCTTATGATGGTGTGGTTAACGAATTGCTTAACATTCTCGCAAATTTACCTGACATCAACCAGATAATTTCACTAACACGGATGGTTTAAATGCAATGGATACAGTGCGTATGGAAAAGATGGCTTAAATTGTCAAGTGTGTCAAATGATAAAAGTGGAAATATTTATGGCCGGGACACTATGTAGAAATTGGGGACGTGCCATTGATATGAAACGATTCAAGTACAATGATGGTCCGGTCTTATTTAATGTCCAAATCAGGGTACAAATATGTGACAGTTTGAAGCTTTCCGTGGTAGCTGCCTTTGAATAAATATATGATATACTAGTATATGCAAAAACAGTAGAAAAATAGAGGGCGCAAATCCGTTTATGATATGATATGAATTTTGTC